ATAATAATAATAATAATAATAATAATAATAATAATAATAATAATAATAATAATAATACGTATAGTACCAGTTATCGAATCAAAGCCACAAACGCAGAACAATCGTGCAGGTTGATAAATTATCGATAGGTCGCTTTATCGAGCGATAAATGCGCCACGGGTCCGTTGTATAATCCGACTGTAATAGTAATCCTACGATTATTCCGATATTTGTGTTCTCACGATTACCATTAGACAGATCGCTCGCGACCTAATGACATAATCGAGATCCCGAAGCTCACTGTCAATTTAATGCATTCCTATTAAATCCATAGTTGGTGGCTCTGCTACCGATCAGGTCCCCGTCTACAACTACACGATCTCTATTATGTATTACATTATATATATACATATATCCTTATATACAATACTAAGAAATATATGTATACACATATAAACACGTATTTGTGCATGTATACACATCCAAGATATATATATACTGTATATACATATATATACAACACACATATATTAACAAGTAACTATTCATGTACACAAATCCAAGTATATATATATATATAAATATAACATACTATCAACAATCCTTGTTCAAGTTCGCGTGTTCATTACGCACGCGCACATAAAAGACAAAATCGTGAGACATGATTCTTACCACGTTAAAACCGGTTGGCGAAGGTAGAGGCAGACTATCTTATTTGAATTGCTAATTAGGTGCGTGCGGTATTACTGTAAATCGACGCTCAGACAACTACTGTTAAGCGAGTAACTCGTACACACGAAATTCACTAAGTCTCGTATTACTTTCTACCGAACGTCCTATTCTTTTTTTTTTTTTTTCTTATTCTTTTCGTTTCTATTTTCTGTATTTCTCAACTCTCAGTCTGATAAATGAAAATATGTAAAACACTAATTAGAAAGTTTATTGAAAGATTTATATCGTGTAATGTAGTGTTCGAGAAGTATTCGTACTCTTACTGTTAATTTAAATTAATCAATATTTTCTTGTAATACAATATTTCCAAATTCTTATACACAGAAACACATTATTTTAGCATTACTAAACTTTTACGTTGATTTTTAAATTTATTGTAAAAGAGTATTTTATTTTAAGAAAAGTAGAAATTGTACATAACTGATAAAAAAATTGGTCTCACTGAATGATATTCAATCGTTTCAAAAAAAAAAAAAAATATTATAAGATACAAAAGAAGACTAACCAAGTATTATTTACAAAAAAAAATAGTAATTGTATTGTTATTAAATCTTACGTAGATACAAATACAGTCTTTTAAATCTATAATTTTTTATTCTTTAAATGAAATTATATTTCTGTAACAATAAAATCTTTTATTGCGATTAAATTTATATCAATGTGACAGATTTTTTTTCTGATATATTAAAATATGTTTCTGCGTGTAAAAAACATTTCGAAGCCTTTTATATTACAATCAAATACCAATTATTTCAAATATACAGTAGGAAAGAGAATACGAATATAATACTCTTATGATTCACGTTGTTTGTATTTATTTTTGAACATCTTATAACTACTAATTATCGTACGCACACATAGAAAGCGATACTGTTAAATAGATATGTGATTGATGATCGGAAACAAGAGACATTGATTTTAATGTAAACAACATGGTAAAGGTAAAAGGAGGAGTAAGAGGGGTGGCAACGGGGATGAGGAGGGGAGAATATAGCATAATTTCCTTCGCTTAGTATGCTCGCGAAACCTTGATACTCGAGTAGAGCCCATAAATCCAGGGTGTCGTCGATGCAATCAATTCACTTTAATCAGAAACGTCCAACCGAGTCGCGGACTCTTCTTATTAACGCAGCTGCAACCGAGAATGGTTGCATTAGATACAGTTCCTTGCAAAAGTATAATACGATCGTTTAAATTTTAACGACTGAAATGAAAGTAAAAAGAAAAAAAGAGAAAAAAAAAATAAACATAATTATTAGTTAGCAACATTCTCATGATTTTGTATTTCCAACGTTTTGTAGGATGAAATCCTTTTAATCGATTATCGTAGGATAATTTACAAAAGTTTATAATCATAGAATTCTAATAATTTTTAATGTGAGAGAATATACAAAACATAATTATATGTTCCTAATAATCATTTATTTAACACCTTGATCTACGCGATATCTGAAAATTTCGCGTGCCAAAAGAAACAAGAAAATTCATCGCGCGCCGTGCAATTCAACTGTTTCGCCATGTACCCGCTCGTTTAAAACACATTCTTTACCACGAATCAGACTCGTGGTGTTCTCTTATGGCACAAATTCTTTACTACGAGTTAGACTCGTGGTGTTCGCTTATGGCACAAATTTTTTATAACGAGTCAGACTCGTGGTAATAGATCAAGGAGTTAATGTTAAAAATTCTATTAAAAAAAAAAAAGAAAAATTTCATTGCCGCATGTAACTCGGTCGCAAAAGTAATAAACAATACGAATTATACGTTCACGATTTAATCTTACTTTAGATAATATAAAGTAACTCTTCCTTTCTTTGTTTCTTTACCGAGTTAAAAATGAGACTTTGAGTAGTAAATCAAAGAAGATAAAAAAGAAATATGACAAAGTTCCTCCTTAATTATCTCGGTATAAATTATTATCTACGATCACAACCTAGCTGCTCGTAGAAAGGTTTAAGTAAATTAATTATACGAACATTATAAGATCGTGAAAGAGGAAGAGTCATAAACATTTTGTTTCTTTTTTTTCTTTCTTTCTTTCTTTTAATTCACTTCAGTCAACTTATACCCGAGAACCGATGTACTCGCGTTTTGAAATATTTCTTGAATCATTTTCTTTTTATTTCTTTTTTTTGCTAGAATATTATAATACTTCTGCGAGCAACTGTATTATATCCGTACGTACGTAAGTACGCATGGCATGCATGTATGTACGTATGTATGTATATACACACACATACATATTTACATGCATGCATGCATATGCGGCCCGGGTCCGTGCGCCATTAAAAGCAACGACCGGAATTATTTGCAAAGTGAGAAGACGGAAACGCTCGTTACTACCCGCGTTGAGAAACGTGTACATGCATAGAAACTCACGTGTGATCTCTACTATTTATTCTTCCTCTCCTATATGTTTTTATGTAGATGTATGTGTATTTGTGTTCACATATCATTGACTGTCTACCAATATACGTAATAAGAATGAACGTCTTCGAATTATAAGGGTGAAACGTTATTTAAATAATTATACTGACGCGTATCTACATTTCAAAATGCACTCTTATTTTTTTTTCAAAAAAATTAAATGAAGAAAAAACAAAGGACAAGTTTTGCAATGATCATTGATTCTTTCCGTCATTTAAACGATCGATTCTCTACGAAACTTTTAATATTTTCGTTAAAGTCTCTGCGATGCAATATTTTTTCAGACAAAAGTTTAAAAAATACAAGTTCCTATTCAAAAATAAAAAAATAAAACAAAAAGAAAGAGAATAAAAAGTGGACTTGAAATAACTATTGGAAACTTTCCGCTAAATAAAAATTCAATAGGTATCGTAATATTGTGTTTTTCTTTAAAATTAGAAGACTTCATCGGTTTGACAAAAAATTTTGCTTAAACAAAAAGAAAACACCACGGTTTTTTAGATAAACATTTCTAATCAATATTACGAACATTTTTATATGTAACACAAATGATAATAATAATATTATTATTACGAGCTTCGTAAATGAATGAATAAATAAAAAGCAAAAAATTATATATGGGATGGGAAGTGGGATTAGTTAACAGAGTAGCGATATATTATTATACGAAAAAAAGTCTCTTGTCCGTTTAAATTTTGTTTTGATCTCTTTCTAACTACTCGTAAAAGAATAATCATGTTCCTATTTTCGCATAAGCAGACAGGTGTGTAAGTACTCTTGCGTATCCGCGTAGCATGTCGTCTAACGGGGTAAAGCGAAAATGCAGGAGGAACGATTATACGGGCTGAGTACGAAAGAGTGTTAAAAAAGATAAAAAGAGCTAAATAAAAAAAAGAAAAAAAATAACAAAAAATATATAAAAGGTAAGGGAAGGAAAGGGTCTATAAGGCAAAAGAATGATACCTGGTGTGGCTGCAGGGTGTCGGGGATGGGCTGCGGGCTATTAGCCGGCCGTGCTTATAGGACGCATCAGCGCAACCTCCACCTCCAAGCCTTTCCAATTTTGTCTCTGCATTCTGTAAACAATACCAAATGATAATTACATTATTTATTATCCTAATTAACGAATACTTGCATTTATATACCAATGGATCAAATCCAAAAATTGAATTTATTTTATGTTTTATTATATATTATATATATATATTATTATATATTTTATTATATATAATATATATACAGAATGATTTATTAACTCTTGCCACTTAAATAACTTCGAAAATATGATAGTAGCAGAAAACTTTTTAAAGATAAAGTTGCATGAAAAATTCAGGACTATAATATGACGTTAGTTTCTTTTTTGCTAGGTTCAGTATCTTTCGAGATTTATAGGTCAACTTTGCTTTTTTTTAAATACAATGCTATATTTTAATATTTATTTTCTGATAGCGGCTATATATATATATATATATGCTCACTCGATTGATATAATTATCTACATTTAGTATATGTTGCTATGAAAGACCTACATTAGAGAATATCAAGATTCACATGGTCGCTTGGTGTATGTTAGAAATATTAATGTATCAGAATAAACCCAAATATTCTGTATTTCACCAACGTATTTGGTATGAGTTGACAAGCGACTATGTGAATCTTAACATTCTCCAATTTAGATTTTTCACAATAAAGTATATATATACTGGGTGGGGCAATATCTCTGTCCAGTTAAAATATTGTCGTTGTTTGTAACAATATGAAAAATTTTATATATAACTACTCCTTCACGTACTATCCATTTATTTGGGTAAAGTTCATTCAGTGCATCTCTTACACTCCGCGCCCAATATACTGGACATCCGTCGTGCTGTAACCACATCATTTGGCGAAAGTTTAGTGGTACATTTTCCAATAAAGTCCCCAATTGATAGTTGCAACATGTAATAGCATAAGTTTAGAAATGATAAGACATATACGCGATGCAGCAATACGAAGATTACAACTTTGCTTTGCTTTGGCGTTAACGGTCACCACTTCGAACATCTTCTGTAATGTAAGAAACTTTATTTTTTATCACATTTGACATCGCATGACCTTGAATAATAGCTCGTTAAATTCGTCTCAACATTTGCCATTACATCCCATTAAAAAAAATATAATATTCATTTAAAAAAATGCAGGTGACCTTGAAATCTCCTCTATGCCTCCACCCACGCAAAAAACGTTCAAGCCAAAAAATGCCCCTCATCATGCCATGTAAGTTGCGTATATAAAATTTTTCATAATGTTATAAACAACGACAATATTCTAACTGGGCAGAGATATTGCACCACCCTCTATATATAAAGGATTTGATTGATTGCAGTATAAAATATTGAATAATAGACATCACAGTAACTATTTTAGCATTAAACCTACTATCCGTGGTCAGATAACTCGCTGCATAATAAACGTTCGTTCACAGAAATATACATATACAGTACATACAATCTTTCCATTTTGTTTTCGGTCTTCGTCATACTTATTATTAGCATTATCCCAAGGTATACATAAACACCAAATCTCGTATCCCACACATTTATACTTCAACTGTTTGAAAAATCTTTTTATTAGCATCAGCATTAGCATTACATAATTTCTAATATATGACAAACTTTAAAAATCTAAAAAGATAAAAGTTAACCCGTATATATCAACGCGCATTTCATTTGAAGTTTTAAAATTAAATTGTTTTTTGTAATTTTAATTTTAATTAGAAATATTGATCAATGGTATTTATTGGCAGGCAGAAATGTTTGAACGACAACAACAGATGTGCTTAAAATCTCTAAATTTATTTACCTGTAATAACACGAGTTCGCCTATTATTATACTTCCGAATATTATACGAGTTTGAAAATAATCTCTTTTTATAATTACACACGAGTTACAGATTTTAATTGGACTCGTACAAAAAAAAAAAAAAGAAATGTTTTCATATAAAAACTAATTTCGATATACAACATAGGTGATAGACAAATAGTGTTACATTTTGTAAAAGGGGTGGAAAATAAGAGGAAACTAAAAAAGTAACTCAAAAGAAAAAAGAAAAAGAAGGGGAAAAAAGTAGAGAAAAGATAGAAAGAAGGAAGGATGTCCGTTGGGTGTTTGCACTAGAGCGCCGGTGTTGCATCAGTATGCGAACGGTGTGTCTGATTAAACGTCGATATGTTCCCTTCCTCACCCTATTTCGCCTTCCACCCTCGTGTACACACAGAAAAGGGAATCACGAACGCGCAAAAGCACGCGCCTACCACCACTCTTTTGCGATCGTTGCTACTAGAACAACATAGTCGTAGAACTTGAGGGATTTGATCGACCGAATGGAAAAAAAACCTTGAGGAATTTTTTTTTCATGTTATGTTTTACATCTTACCACCTTCTTTCTTTATTTTCTTTTTTTTTTCTTTCTCACTAAACGAATAATCTTTACCTCTTTTTTCTCTCTTTTTTCTTAATACTTCGATTAATACTTATACTCGACAATTCGAAAAAAAAAAAAAAATAATAAGTAAATGACTTAATCGAGCGTTTTAAGACGATTCAATGAAACGAGTTCTTTTAGCGGGGCCAATTAAACCGAGTTCTTGAAAAAGAGAAAGAAATAGTAGAGTGAGTTTAGCTTTCGAATTATGCTCGAGTATACTTGAACAATGCTCGAGATGAGAGAGAGAAAGAGAATGAAAGATAATGCGTGTGTGAGTAAGAGAGAAAGAGAAAGAGGTAGAAAGAAGTGCAAACGAAAAAAAATTGTTTGTGTTATTCCTTTTATTTTCTTCAAATCAACGATAATGAAATTTCAAGTGTAAGAATAATCGTTTTAAATTCGTTTCAAATGATTTAGATAATTTACAGGTAATAATGTTTGATATCGTCTAACGCAGGGATTCTCAAACTAGTTTAATTTGGTAGTTAATAAATAAAAATCCAAAAATATTTATTACCATCATAAAATCATTTTTACTGATTAAAATTTAATACATCAAAAATGAAGTATGTTGTATTTATAATCAAAGATTAAAATATTTTAAATTCACATTATTCAATTATATTCGTAAATGATACACGTTAAAATATTTAAATACATTTTTCTGTACATTTATTGAAATATTTTGTGTTAAAATTGTATCACCAAAAAACAATAATGTACAATAATTTAAAAAATGATAATCCAGCGTACCAAATGATCAGTTTTCAGATCGTAAGATTAAAATATATTATTATGACGTTACGATTGTAATAAATCAATGAGAAATAAATTTATTTAAACAACAAAAAAATAAATGGAAGACGACAATTCTCGTAACGTAGTTCATACTTCATTTTAATTTCCAGATTATCAGTTTTTTCTTATAATCCCATTTTCGATAACACGATACGCTCAACGATATTATCCGATTTTATTTCGTTTTTTTCTTTTCCTACTTCCGTTTATTTTTTCCATATTTCCCGTGTAAAACGCGAGCTCGACCACGAACGCTTTTTAAGGGTCGGCGTCTATGGTGTAATACGTACACATACACATACACAAAAACACACATACACGCGTATAGGAAGGAAGGAAGGAAGGAAGGAAGGAAGGGCAGGTTGCCTGACGCTCTCGCCGTTCGTAGGAAAAGTTTATATTGGATTTCATATTTAATGGAACGCACACTCTCTTGCCACTATCGCTACCACCACTACCATCACACAACCACCACCCACCCCATCACTACCAACTACCACACATTCGCTTTCCAGATAAATTATTTATGTTGAGACAAGCTTCACCTCTGTTTCTTGCTTGCTAAAGGTGACGAAAAATGAAACTACGAGAAAGTAGAGAAAAGTCCCCTTTTACGAGAAATAAACGTGGATAGATAGAAATAACATGGCACATAAAAAAAGAAAAAAAAAAGAAATAAAACGTCCAAATCGAACTTTTCGATTATATTATTTATACCCTCTAACATAAAATGAAGAAAAAAAGAAAGAAAGAAAAAAAATGGAAAAAGAAGGAAAATCGAATACCTGCGAGAAAGAAATCGAAAAAAAAAATCAAAAAATAAAATAAAAACAACCGATAGTTAAGTTGTTCGTTAACGAGACAATAAAGTAACGACGCGTAAGGGTATTTTCGATATTCAACCTTAGTAGAACGTAATTAAACAACCTATTCAAATTCTAGCCTCATTATGCAGATTTAAGGAGGGATAGAAATGAGTGGGAGGGACGATGGGAAAACTGTTATTAAATTTATCGTCTGAAGAGGGCTGAAAGAGAGAGAGAGAGAGAGAGAGAGAGAGAGTATGCTTTAAAACGTATTACTATACGTTGTCTTTAGTGGAAAGAGAAGAGACTGAGGGACGAGAGAGACTGAGGAGGAGGAGGAGGAGGAGATCTGTTGTAGATATAAACCACAATTGTCGTTAAAACGGAAAGGAAGAAGGAAGGATTTATCCTTAAGAAAAGGAAAAACTCTTTTCTTTAACGGGTTCGAGATACTCGAACGATGGTGCTTTTTAATTGGGCCACCATTCTCGAAAAAAAATGGAAACGAATAAGGAAGATCCGAATAAAAGTAGAAACAGGAAAGAAAGGAAAAAAGAAAAAAATTACAAAAGAAGAATAAAAAAAAAGGTTAAATAAATACAAGACGCTACCGAACGGAATTCATCCTTTTTAATGGCTTCATTGAATCTTTAAGAGGGTAATAATTGATGACTCTTCATTGTCCCCCTATCTTCTACTATCGAAGAAGGGACTGGTGGATATCTCAGGGGTGAAAATTACCACCCTCTATGTCTGATCTTATCGACGTTTTAGTATGATCGATCTCTTTTATGTACACTTTAGACATGTGTTATGTGATATTAGGTTGCACGTAAAGTTCTTCAACGATTTATCGATATATATATTCGATATGTATAATATCGAAACATGTATATTATAATATAAATGATTTATATATCATTTTTAGTTCTATTATTGTTATTTATGTTTTAATTTTAAATTCTATTCTTACATGCTTTTTTATATAATTAATTTTTGTAAATGT